ATTCTTTCTGCTAACTACAACATTTTTGTGCTTCTTCTAAATTCTTTATGCTAATTTTACCTTGTTATGCTCATTTCAGCTTATTTATTAAGCTTTTTCTGCTATTTCAGCCACTATTCAGCTGTTTTATGCCAATTTTAGCATTTTCAGCTAATTCCACATTTTTTGCTCTCATTTCAACTTTCAGCCTAATTCAGCAAAAAGGTGCTCTCTCCAATTCATTCTGGTAATTTAAGCTTTTTTTCTGCCTTTTTAGCTACTATCCAGCTGTTTTTTTTTTGCTCATTTCTGCTTCTTTCAGCAAACGTGTTCTTTCCACTTTCTTCTGCTAATTTAAGCTTGTTCTGTCTTTTTAGCTAGTTTTAAAGTATTTTTCAGCTAAGTTCAGCAGTTTTCAGATAAATTCAAGTTCTTTGTGGTAATTCCTGCTACGTTCATCCCAATTAACTTCTTTATGCTAATTTCAGCTCCTATGCTCCTTTCTGATTTTTTTTCGCTAGTTTCAGCTTTTTCTGCTCTTTTTTAACTGTTTTTGTGCTAAATTTAGCTTTTTCAGCTAATTCAAACTTTTTTTTAAACTCATTTCAGCTCCTTACACTTCCTTCTGATAGTTTAAGCTTCTTTCTGCATTTTCAGCTACTTTTCAGCTATTTTTTGTTGTTGCTAATTTCAGCTTTTTTAAATCTAATTTCATAATTTTTGTGCTCATTTATAATTATTTAAACCTAATTCAGCAAATTTGTGTTCTTTCTGCTTTCTTCTCCTAAATTAGCCTATTCTTCTATTTCAGCTACATTTCGGCATGTGATTAGCTAATTTCAGCTGTTTTTCAGCAATAAGCATTCACACTGCATTTTCTCAGGAAATGCAATGTCCCTAATTTTATTTGATTTTGATTTCTGCATACACTACAATTAGTGATGGAGATCCTCAGGGATCAATGCTTGGCCCAGTACTCTTGACTGTATTTAAGCTTCCATTAGGTGAAGTTATTAGTTATTATTATCCTCTCTCTGCTGCTGTCTTCACTCGCTCCACTCTCCATGTTTGTATTTGTAATTATTTCTATATTTAACATGTTTTTATGTGTTTGTCCCCACAGAAACCACACCTGGACCGGTCATTCTGTCGTTGTCCGTGTCTCTTTCCTGTCCTCTCTAACCCCAGCCAGTCGAGGCAGATGACTGCCCTGAACCTGGTTCTGGTTCTGGTTCTGCTGGAGGTTCCTTCCTGTTAAAATGGAGTCATTCCTTTCCACCTCTGCCAACATGCTGCTCAGGATGGAAGGTTGAGACGACGTGACGGTTCAACTCAACCTGCTGTGATCGTTTTCACTTATTGTCATTTTATAATTCATAGAAATTGTTTTGTGTAGCGCCTGGAGGCGACGTTTGTTGTCAAGTAGTGATTTATATTTATTTATAAACTGAACTGAACGTACCAGAGTGTGCCGTTAACAAGTCGTGGTCTGTGCAGGGACATGTCGTTTGCCAGGACTCGGCCTGTCCTGCTCACAGGTACACCTGCGCTGCTGTCCTGAAAGTCTTTGTTTTTTAAAAGGAACAAATCAATCGAAGACCTGAAATGTGTTTGACCCTTCGGCTGAACAACCGACCTCCACTGATGGAGCTAAAATCTGCCTTTGTGTCTGTCAAACCGTTCTCTTTGTTATTATTGATGGATTCAACTAAACGAGAACTATTTGTTTTTGTGACAGGCTGCAGGTGATACAGAGCCTAAAGGTCCGATTTAAACTTCAGTAAGTTGTTGACTCAGCACTGGCTCATCCCTTGAGTTTAGTTTTCTGTCAACGCGTCTCTGGAACAGTCGGTACTCACCACCAAAGAGCCGGTACTGCTCGCAGCCCATCGCCTGCTTCGCCGTCTGACGGCAGCAGAGCCACGAGCCGTCCTGCCAGAACTGAGGGTGGTACTTCATGGACAGGTTCGAGTTGATCCTGATCTCTGGATGCACACACAAACAAACAAACAAACAAACAAACAAACAAAACAGTTGACCAACAAGTAGTACAGAAGAATTTTCATTTGTTCTTTACGTTTAATGACCTAATAACCACTCCCCCCACCCCAAAAGTAAATAAATAAAATATGAACTGAACCAACACTGAGGAGACCAGGTGTTGGAGGTTTTGAAGAACCTGAGGAGACCAGGTGTTGGAGGTTTTGAAGAACCTGAGGAGACCAGGTGTTGAAGGTTCTGGTGGGATTGTTGTCCCATTCTGGTCTGATGGAGGTCTCCAGCTGTTTACAGTCCTGGATGGAGCAGATGTTCTAAAACCTGAAGATTCTTTTCTGCACTGATGGAGTCTTTCCAGATGTGTAAGCTACTCAAGAGACATTAATGCACCCCCATACCATCAGAGACGGCAGCAGTTCTGGATGGTGTGAAAACCCGCCCCCGGTGTGTGGTTCAGAACCCGAGAGTGAACCAGCAGCCGCCGTGAGGAACACGTGACGTTGCTCTTTCGGAGCCCGAACCATCAGCCTCCACTGCCGTGCTGACAGCTGACCTGTTTGCTGCAGTGCATTCTGGGTAAGCATTGCTCCAGAGGCCTTGTAGGTCATTCGAGGGAAAAATTATTCCAAACAAGCCATGACCTTTGACCTTTGACCAAAGCCTGTAGAGTTTCTAAGCACTGCACGGTCTGACCTTGGGGTGAATTTTCCTGAGCCTGTCGGCCATCTTTAATGTTCTCCACTCTTGAATAATCTTTTGATCTGCAGAATGATGGACTCGACCTTTGACCTTTCCCAGATTGATGGACAGCAGCAGCTGCATCCCTAAGGTCATTGCTGATGTCTTTCCCCCTCGGCGTTGTGTCAGCACACACCTGATCGTGTGCAACCAGAAGGTTTGTCCTTCCTTCGATCAGCGTTAAAACACGACAGTAAACTGAACCGTCTTCTTGTTCTCAGAACCAGAACCAGAACCGAGACCCACCGTCTTTCAGGCTTTGGACCCAGAGACTTCGGCTGCTCATGCTCGGAGCGAACACGTACAGGATGTTGTTGTCGTGCAGCACCTGGACACAAACACAGCGCACCGTTAGCGTTAGCATCAAGACGCTCGCGTTCCGTCACTCGACTCCGTAAAGATTCACTCGTCTCGCGGCGCCGGGCGGTTTTATTTTTGAACCACTCACCGTTAGCCGTTTCCTTCCGCACCTCGTTCTTCAGGGTTTGCTCCGTTTCAGCAGGTCTTGTATCAAAACGTTCGGCTCATTCAGGACGATCCTGCTGGGACTATTCTAGAAACTTTAGCTTTTTCTCCCCTCATTGAAAAAGAACTGAGCTCCCGTCACGTCGCTCAAAGACTTTTAGCTGTTTTAAACCTTTTACTGCTCGTTTCAGCTTCTTAATTCAGCTGCTATATGCTTTAAGCTACTTCTCAGGTATTTTTTTCAGCTAATTGTAGCTTTTTTCTGCAATTCTTTTCTATTTTTTTGCCTTTTGTGCCTAAAAAAAGATAAATGTAACTTTGTGTTCCTTCCAGTCTGTTTCTGCAACTTCCAGCTTTATTTTATTTTTTAGCTTTTGCTCCTTTTTATTTATTTTCTGCTCATTTCAACTTTTTTGTTCATTTTAGTTTCTGTTTTTTTCCAATTTCAGCTTTTAATTTTTAACTTACCTTTAACTTTTTTTGTAATCTATTCAGCCTCTCTCCTCCTATTTCAGTTTATTCGGCTACATTTCGGCTGTTTTTCTGCTGATTTCAGCTAATATCAGCTGATCAGAGTCAGCTCACCATCACAGTGAAACCTCAGCAGCTAAACTCTTCCAGCGATGAGCGTTCACTGCAGTTCGACAGGAAGTGACATCACTGCAGGCGTTACCTGGAAGGGGTACATTTTGACAGGAAGTGACATCACTGCGGGCGTTACCTGGAAGGGGTACTTGTTCTGGCAGGGGATGGCCACCCCTCCGCTCCTGACGATCTCCACACATTTGATGCGGCTCAGGTCGATCGAGTCCTTCTTGAACTTCCTCTGTCGGTGGAAAACGTGCGTCAGAAACAGTTTTTTCGCTCCACCACGTGCGACTTTCGATCTTGTTTGATCTGCAGCTCGCTCGGACGACGATTGACAGAGTTTCGTCTGAAAACCTGAAACAAACGGTCGTTTCCTTCAGCTGCAGACTCGCTCGGGTCATCGCCGTGGAAACGACTTCCTCTCAAACGAACTCGTCGATCTTCAGCCTGAATGAGCTGAACTGATTTTACCGACGCTGATTCTCACTCTGGATGTTCCCCGCCTGTCTGTTAGCAAAATATTTTACTGGGCAAAAAAAAAAAGAAAAGAAAATGGCCGCCAAAGCTAATTGATTTGAAAAACACAAGAGTGGCTAAAACTGGTCACTTGTGCAGACGGTGAGCTAAAGTTTGGTGTGGTAGTAGCTGAGCATTGTCCTCAACACACACTTTGAGCACAACACGACGTGCAACACGTGTGCGTCAAACTTTGGAATTAAAGTTTGGAGTCACTTCTGTTCGCCTGTAAGCAAAATATCTCCTGAACCGAAAGACGGAACTTAATGGAACCTTCAAACAGTCATTACTGCATGAATGCAGTTCAAGATGGCCGCCACAGCTAATCGAGTTTTGCGCATGAAAAATGGTGATAGTTCAGTCCGTTTAACAACAAACTGAAGTTTGGTGAAGTAGAAACAGTGAATTCTAGAAGAAAATACAACGATAAAGAATTAAAAGCATCTCCAGCGTCTACACAAAGTTCTCCTGATGAGCGTCGTCATGTGGTCCGTTCCCTCCGCTCCTCACCGGCCTGCCTCGCCTTCACAAACAAGAACTCTGTCTGACTTTCAGTGCTCTTCTCTCCAGAGTACCTCCACCTCTCCAGGCTCTCTTCCACCTGCTGCCTGCTCCCACTACACGTCTGCAAACATCCCAGACCACAAAATGTGACTTTCCCTGTTGATCTGTTTGTTTTCTGCAGATGTCAACTTCTTCTTCTTCTTCTTCTTCTTCTTCTTCTTCCTGTTGTTATTGTTCTTCTTGTTCTTGTTCTTCCTCTTTCAGCTGTTCCCTCTTCAAGGGTCTCCACTGCTCCTCTAACTGCATCCATATGTCTCCTCTTTGTCTTTTTTCTGCAGCTGCATTTCTAACATCCTTCTACAAGTATATCCACTGTCCCTCCTCTGGACATGTCCAAACCACTGTCCCTCCTCTGG